AAATATTTAGTAGAGCAGTAAGATCTTTGATGTTGCTTTTGTCTTTGTCGATTATATTTAGGTTTGAATCGCCCATAATGATGATCTTCTTCCGGGGTTTTGAGTGAGTGTGTAGTAGGTTTTGCAGGTTTGAGAAAAAAGTTTGTAGGTCCCCATTGGGTGGTCTGTAGAGTCCCAAGATTAGAAGGTTTCTTCTCCTTTCCTTAATTTCTATTGCCGCCAGTTCAATATTCATTTCATCTGTATAGGCTTCCATGTTTACTTTTTCCACATTTAGTGGCATTGCTTCAATGGTGTAGATAGCCACCCCACCCCACATATGCTCGTGTAAACCAGGCCTAAGCGAGGGGCCCAGTGCAAGTCCCTTAGGGTCAAGAATTTCGTTCCTAGTAATGCCTTAAAATGCACCTAACAATAACCTTAAATATAGGACAAAAATAAAAATAAAGTTGTTGCAAAAGAAGGCCATTTGGTAAGTGTCTGATTAATTTTCGAAGTTATTAATAAAAACTACTGTGCAAGGGGGCCCCGGGAACTCGCCCCCTCCGCTCATAGGTAAGTCCGGCCCTGCTAACCAAACCTGCTGTACCATTTCAAAATTCTGTTTAATAACATTAAACGCATGGGATGGGGAATAACCAACCGTATTTTGAAATGTTACAGCAAGTTTGGTTTGTTAGGTTGTGTATTCTTTGTTGATACTAAACAATATTTATTTATCGTAGTTGTCAGCCAATGTTTCAATTCGTTAATATTGGTATATCTGATAGAAAAAAAATTTTGATATAGGGCTTATCAAAAAGAAATCATCGATAATAATTAATGTTCCCTTTAACAGAAAAGTATGGTAATTTTAATCTTTGTTTACTTTATTTGTTGTTAGGCCTACATTATTTATTATTCTATTGGGTATCAAATTTATTGTTCAGTTTTTTGTTTTGTCGCAAAGCATTGGCCAAGCTGTTGGTGTGTATAAATAAAAAAAAATAAATAAATCTTCTACAGCATTTTGGAAGGTCTAGGTAAATTTTAAGATACTTAAATAAGTTAGCCCTATTTAAGTTATGTCTTGTAGGTACATGACTCGTATGATCAGCATCAGCTTTTATGGGGAACAATTGGTTTTTCTAATTTTTGACCCTCTAAACACAAAATTTCCCAATTTCTCTCCAGACCTTTTTAAAGGGCTTAGGCCTAAAAAAACAAATAATTTAGTATATCAAAGTGTTTTTGTACAGGTATTGGTTACGAAGTAAATTAAAACAATTGTTATTTTTAAATTCCCATGTTATGTGACGGGATATTGTAAAATTTTGTAGTTTGCTTGTTCATGGATATATTTTGATCAAACTTACGCCTCTTTCACACGACGCGGCGCCCACCGGATCCGGCGTAGGGCTATGGGAGTATATGAGTCCTTTCACACTATTATCCGGCTCGCGAGTTACCGCCGGATGCACCTTCAGCCAGACAACAGCGCCGCGCCGCGTCCACGCCGGACAACTCGGTGAAGGGCTATTGGTTTGGGAGCTTTCACACGGTGCGGCGCGTGCCGCACGGCCCAACCCCTACGCTTTCTCAATTTAGGCAAACTACCTTACCAAGAGGGTGCAACAGTTATTAAGAAATTATATATCGTTGTATCAGAAAATAATATATTTAAGGTATCACAAAACATATATTTTTATGTTCATCCCATGCAAGTCGGCCAACTTAAAGTAGGCCTATTAAAACAAAATTTTTCATTTAATAACTAGAGGAGAATATTTAGTATTAAATTACTAATTTAGGCCTATACGTAATTATTAAACATTTTTGTAGACTTCTAGAATACAATATTTTCAGATATGACGAATTATAATATTTTTAATTATCCTATTCATTTTATTTGAGCTTTTAAGTGGAGTATTAACCGGGGCTATAGAATACAGGGGCTAGCTCACGTCTTTGATGTAGCACTTGCCGACACGGCCCCGCTCCCCCACCTCCTGTGACGTCACTGGGCTGACAGTCGGGCCTGTTTCCATTACGCGGCCAGCGAAAATCTCACTCTTTTACACGCTCCCCTACCGTTGTACGAACATATTTCTCACATGAAACTTATATCGTTTTATTCTGCATTAACTGTAGAATCCAAATATCCAAACAGTTTTTAGTTTACCACAAGTAAATTAGTTTTATACCAACAAACGTAGAGAAACTACAATAATGAAACTTGAAAAAGTCACTAAGCGAGGAACATTTTAATTTTCGGGTTAGGCACAAACTTTCAGCGAGAAAACTGTAGTCAATCAGTTCTTCCTTAGTAATTACTTAACAATTCTTAAATACCCCTAACAGTTCATTAATAAATCGTCTCAAAAGACGATTGTTACAACTGAGCGCTGGCGGGTAATTTTGCCGTTCGCCTCGCAAATTTTCGGTTGTTGTTATGGCAACACTGCATCAAATACGCGTAAAAACAACTTCGCTCTTTCATTGTTATTCGGGTCTTCCGTTTGTTTCTGAAGAAGATAGAAGAAAAATGATCAGAAGATGAGTAAGTGGCTAAAATCAGCGAAATAGGATACAACTATTATAATAAAAATACTATCGCATTAAAACGCTCTTTTACTTAATTTCTACGAATAAACACTTTGTTCAACAGACAATATAAAATTACCTAAACCATTACACATCCCTAAAAGATACCCAACCAAGTGTATTAGAATTATATGACAAGGGGTACCGGAATATCAAACAAGATAAAATAACATTCTAAGCCTTAAGTCTACACAGTTCTTAAAATTAAGTTTTAGCACTAATTACTTGTTTCACTAATAGAAACAAAGTGCAATTGTTTTAGGATCATAACATTTTTTAACTATCATGTTATAAACAGCACGATGCGGACATGTGCGGAACGATGTAATGTGATCGCCAAGTTTATAAAGCCTAACTTCCTGGTAAGCAATAAACGACCCGTTGGTTTTATCGAAAATTTTCAGGCTAATTATTGAAATAGAACTATTAATGAATATTTTTCTCGCTCAAAGTTTGTTCCTATCCCAAAAATAAAAAAAATCCCCGCTTAGTGACTTTTTGTAGTTCACAAGTTTGTAATCGTTATAATTTTCCCCTTTTAAAATACATATCATTGATCATAACTAAAATATTTTTGGACCATCAGATTCTGTAGTTAATGCAGATTACAACGATATAAGTTTTATATGGACAATTTAATTGTGTACATTTAGGGAAGCATTTAAATGAGCGATTTGTATATTTGCCGCGCGCTAGCTACGCCCGTGGAGTCAGCGTGGTGACGTCACAGCCACACGGCAGTGGGACCACTTTGCTAGTCCACGTGAGCCAGCCCCTGTATTCTATAGCCCCGGTATTAACTGAGGCATGGTTAATGAGATTTACTCGGAGGGCTGGTAGGGTCAGCATAGCTATTGTCCTGCTCCACCATTTTTTGCCACACTCCAACATTTCAACCAAAAAATAAACACAATACCCTCGCCGCAGCAAACCTGCAGACTAAGCGAATTTCCATTAACCTGATTGGATTTACACTAAAATGCCTCCATAAAAATATCACATTTATTTCCTATTTAAATAGAATTAGTTAAACGAGTACTTAGGTTTGCTACAACAGGGAGGGTAAAAGTATTTTTTGTAAAATGTTAATAGTTTAGTAAGAAATGAAAGTATTTTCCAAATTCGATCAAAATATGTTCATAAACAAGCAAACTACAACAGTTGACTTATTCTCCATAAGAATAACATGGGAATTTTAAATTTACAATTCTTTGGAATTTTCTCTGTAACCATTAGACACACAACAGCGCTTCAATATACTAAATTACCTATTTGTTTTTTTAAGCTCTACAAAATGGTTTGGAAATAAATTGTAAAATTTTGAGTTTTTAGGGACGAAAATAGGAAAAACCTATTTTTACCCCATAAAACCCCATATAAAACCACGTTCCTATAGTCCGATCATGCTGGTTCGCGAACTCATTCGAATAAATGTAGGTTTATACCAAATTTCATCAAAATCGGATCATTTTTGCTCGAGTTATTGCGCTAACGGACACATATATATATATAAATATATATAATAATAAGTATGATTGTGATTAGGGCTACTACTATATAAATAATTGAAAACATTATAAAAACATTAGTAGGCTACCCTTTTAAATTCATTTTAATTAATAAACGACATGTTTCGACACTTAGGTCATAGACATGTTTACATTTAGGCCTACAAATACAATAACAAAAATAATGAAAGGAATAAATAAATATAAATGTGAATTTGAACGGATGGTGTTTTTGGCCTCTAGGGACCTCAAAACGAAAAAGTAAATTGGTCCCGGGTCCAGGTCTTACCATGAGTACTCCGGTAATAGCTTATTCCCTATATAGGAAATTCGCTAAAACAGCGTGCTTTATAATGATGAACGTAATCCATGTACGCTTGAAAATAAGTTGGCAGCACTCAGATATTACGAATAAGTACGGTCAGCTGGTGCAGCGTTTCCCATTTCATTCAATGTTTGGATTTGACCTAAACTAAAAACGTGCTTTAATAATAATATTAATAAATATTCAGGAGTGCCGTACGGCACGCGCCGGACGAAACCGTACTAGTGTAAAGACACACGCTTGTCCGGCACGGCAGGCGCCGCATCGTGTGAAAGAGGCGTTAGTAAATTTATTTATTTTATACTAAGTTATTATAGCAGCAAGCCTATGTACTCATAAAACCTAATGTTAATTAAATACATTTAATTGAAAATCAATTCAGGCAACTGGAAATTCGCTTAGTTGGCAGGTTTGCTGCGGCAGGGATATTTTTTTAATTTTTACATATTTTTATTATGTTGTACTATGTTTGAATGTAAAGAGAAATTAGGCACTTTGTCCATTCCTAGTTAAATGACTACAGTAAAAAGTAGGCCCCAAGAAAATCAAGCATATTATACAAAATACAATTTTAACTGTTTTAGGCCTGCACTGGAATCGATGATATCGGCGAGGCATTTTCGCATCTCGATGAAGCAAAATGGGATTTGCTGGTAAGTACAATATTATGTTTGCTACAATGCTCGAACCTCCTTGTCTGGTCAGTTATGTGCTTAAAACTATATACTTTTTAGTTTCAGCTTTTACCGTGCATTTTATTCAGATGATAATTTATCATAATGAAAAACTAGATTGAAATTACCTGTATTGGTTTTACACTAGACGTAGGGAACTGGTACTTGCTTAGTCATAAGTGTTCTTCAAAACCATACTGTAACTGTGTGAATTGGTTTATTTATAATGCCTTGAGGGTCAATTATTGTTAAATTTCATTATAATGTTTATAATTTCATTATAATATAATGTTTTTGCTGAGTTATTAAAACTAAATTGTCATGCCTATTTGTGCCTATTGTAAACTTATGTAGTGTGAACAGTTATTGTTCTCTACATATTTGGATTTGTTGTACATTTTTTTCAACTTATATACTTTTTTCCAAGGCGGCAATAAACAGAGTAATGCCTCAAGATTCGCAACAACTTCCATCCGAATCGTCCGGCCTGGACATAGAGATGATAGAAGAGATAAGACGACCACAAAACATACCCAATGGACAGAAAAGTGTCGTCATCAGCCCTGATTTTATTGAGGTATGCCAACCAACTCTTTTATATACTTATTTATTCTGAAGTATAAATAAAATAAACATGAAGCTTCATAATAAATACAGTTACACTTACTGCTGTGGCCACTGGTACAGAGAGTCATACTGATGATAATGAAATAAACTTTACAAACAAAGTGTAAAAACTGAACTAATTTGCAGGTTGTGTCACGTAAGCTGGCACTTGGGCCTATCACAGGCAGCAGTGTAAGCGGGTGTAGGGTTAAGACCGGACTGCAAACATTTATGCTGACTCACAGAGTGGATGTCCCGTGTTTCGTGTACTTGAGCGCCTTCACCTGGGTCGTGAGGACAGTTGACACAACCTGCATGACGGCATATAATGTTTTTGAACTAGGCTAGTAGAGATCGGTCAAGTGCAATCTTACTACAAGCTTTAATACCAAACAAATTTTTTTATAAAAAAAAACCAACAAAAGTAAAAGTTAAATATGACAGTGGTAATTTAATATGGACAGTGATTTGTTTACAATGTACAACAATGAAGAGGGTTATAACAGCCTTCCCTGGAGGGAAATTCGCTAAACCTATCTTCAAACCCACATATACATCAAACTTGTTTTACCGTTTCAATTTAAGTTTTGTTTGTTCAGGCCTCGACCAGCCATGGACGACTCTCAACTCGGAGGCTCAACTTCCAGATAAACTACAATGACAGAGTAATTGAACTGGTACTCCCCGAAACCGCCACTATCAGTAAGTTTTTTTCTATTTTTCTATCTTAAATGTCATTGATGTAAAATATTAGGCTAGCGAAGTATTTTTATGTTAAAAGTTGGTTATCGTAAAGAAGTCCTTACTATATAGCGGCTGAAAGCAGTCTTCGTATAAAATGCTGACTGTTAATTTATTTAACTTACAGAAAGCAATTACTTACTTGCTGTGGCTGTTGGTGCCCAAGGTGGAACTTTGCCCCCAACACACTGTCTCCATTTCCCTTATTCCCAGTCTTCTCAAGTCTTTTCTGAGATGGCCCTTCTATCTCAGCTTTAGTCTTAATATTAATCTTCTACCCATATGATTCTTTAATTACATTGTTTTGATTAAGGAGTCGTAATCTTTCCTTGATCAGCTTTTTTATTCTCTCAAAATTATGGCAACTTTCGAGATCGCAAGATGAAAATATTCCAAAATTTAACCTTTTTTTAAGGAGGTGTGAAATATGAAAAAATGTATTACGCAAGCCCTCGGTCCTAAAGGGTAGTGTGGGACACACCAATATCTGGAGTACCCACCAAAAGCACCTTTCCCCTCCACTCAAATATGTGTGGGAGGGCGATCACAGCAAGATGACTTGTCCCCGCAGCTGGAATATGAATATCAATGATTAATCATAACTAAAAAACCAAGAATCACATATGTCCATTTTTTTATTTAAATTTTAAGATCCCTAGTGTTTTGGATTGTTTTAAAGTTTGCATCAAATTTTTTTTGAAAACTTAATGTTTACATCCCAGTACCCCAATCAAATTGTAGTAGCTAATTATTGTGTCGTTAAACAAAAATTAAATGATGTCTCATTGATTTATTTGAAAATTCACACGTTTGTTTAAAGCTAAAAACTTTTATAGGAGATCTGAAGACTATGATATTCAGCAAATTGGGCGTGCCTGTTTGTCATCAAACTCTAACAGGGTGGGAGCACAATCCAACCAGTGACTACGCAACTTTGAGCCTAATAAAACTGCCAAGGGAAAACATCCTGTTTCTGACTAACCTCGACTCTGACAATAACGGAATGGACTTTGAAAGGTTGGTGAAAACGCTTTCATTTACATAACTTACTCATTCTTAATTTCTTTGGTCATTGAATTGCCTGGTAATTATTTTGTGCAAGTCATTAGCTGAGTAAAAATTTCAATGATTTTTCTTTGTTGCTCTTTATGGTGGATTGGCTAATTTTTGTTGTTTTCAATAGCTGAAAATTGAGCTGGCCTAGAGGTTACAGCGCGGGACTTCGGTCCCTGAGATCCTGGGTTCAAATTCCACCAAATCATCAATGGATTTTATCTAAGTGATAATGCCCCTCCTCTAGGTCTAGGCTGAAGTAATGTGAAAAACAATCCCAAGCTTGTGCCTAGCTTCTAAAAAAACCTTCATTGTAAATAAAGCTGGACTTAGCACCTTGGATTTAGATGTGTCAAGGAAAGATATTTTTAGATTTAATTTTTGATAGTTAATCTCTTTAGTTTGCCTGGTAAATCTTTGTTTCTGAAAATTAGTTACTTAAATTTAAATAGATTTAGTTTTGTTCAAGGAAAGGCTCTAGGCCAGGATTTTTGAATTGTAGAAAAAGGAGGATAGCAGCTAGCTTACCTTGAAAGTGTAGGTAGGCTATAGAACATCTAGAAGATACACTGTGCAGACAATTTGTCCCCTGAGAGACTTTGTCAAGTGTAGAGAAAGAGTTTACAAATTACAAAATGGCTGGTGTTACCACATATCATTAGTCTATTTACAACTATGTACACAAACACATAATATGTATATATATTGTATACTATGTTTGTGTACATAGTTATGATATGTGGTAACCCTGCATAGTTGACAACAGTTAAACCTGATGGACTACAGTATATGTTAATCGCAATATGTGCGTCAATATGTGCAATCAATAGTACAGAAAATTGATGACTTGTAACCCACATATCATCAGTCGATTTACAACTAAACACACATAGGCCTATATATGTGTCTTGTGTATGTACTTTGTTTGTGTACGTACATAGCTGTAAATATATTAACGATATGTGGGTTACAAGTGATAAATTTTCCTGTGCAATTTTTCTTGTTAATAATAATTTATTCTTTTCCAGTGAGGAAAATCTTACAAAAACATTTACATTGAATGTGTTTGATGAAATGAAAAGCAAAGATTACAGTCTGAAGTACCCTGGAACTAAAACTATAGAGGAAGTTAAAGCAGATATTTATAGGTAATTGATAAAAACTCACATTAATATGTCTTATCTTTTTATTGCTATGATGAAATGCTACACCATTTCATTTCCTAATCATCGTACTAATCTGGTATTAACCTATAGATGCAGCGCAAACCAGGACAACTCTATAGGTGTCCAGCAAACCATAGCCTCTGGGAGCATGTTTTATCTATGATAAAACTTATTTAGAGAGTAGGTTGGTAGATTGATGAGAATTGTTTTGGCTATAATTTAAAACTCCAACCAACATTTTTCATTTCTAAAGAAATTTCTTATGAACCAATCAGCATTGTGTTGAGTGAACCTTTTTTTGTTTATAATATATATGGTTTGGGCTTTAATTTTGTTAGTTAACCTATATTCTTTCCTAAAAAATATACTCTTTAGTGGTAGTTGAATCGATTTGTTCTTATCTAACACTAACTAGCAAAATTGTAATAAAAATGCACTAAGTTAAAACTAAATTCACTAATGTTGATACAGCCTGATATTTTTTTTTTACTTTTTCCTTAGCTATTTGATTCACCTTAACCTTAATGGTGTAAAAGAATTTTAGTGAAAGCTAAACTTAAAATACTATACTATACTATATATCAAACTATACTTGATATTCTGCTATGAACGAATTAATTAATTAAAAAGTGTTTTTATTTACACAAGACATGTAGGCTACAACAATTGATTTCCTTAGCACTGCATACAACAATGGTATTCTGATATTAATTAATATTCTGAAACGTGTTCAATTCAATATAAACCCTTCTGTTGCCATAGTCTGACAGACATCCCAGTTAGACACCAGGTGTGGACAGGTTGGCCGTCGACTCTCAAAGACGACACTACAACTCTAGCAGCGGCCGGACTGCAGCTGCCTAATCACAGTCTCAGTGTGAAGAAGAACCCTGCCAAGGAGTATAAACGAGTGAGTAGTCTTATAAATAAGTAAATAAAAATTCATCGGACTTAGCATGTCTCAAGTCAATTGCAAAAACAAACACACACCGTTTTGAGCTTCATTTTTAGAGTGTTTTTTTTTACCATGGACATCTTTTTTTAGATTGTTGTCGACCTAGCGGACAGTGATAGTTCTGTGGAAGAGTTTGAGGACGCCTCGTGTTCTGCCTCGTGGACTGGTGAAGATGAAATGTTTGTTGAAGATATCGGATCAAGAAAAGTGCAACCTTTGAGTTAGTAGTTGGGCATTAATTACTTTATATTTCATTGTACCCTTTTTTAAGTTAATTGGTTGGTAAACATAAGGTTGTTTCTAATCATAAATTTATTAATTAAATAAAACTCATCCTGAATTGGGTATTTATTGTCAGCGAACATGGATAAAGTAATTGTTTAGAAAATTTCAGCTCTCCCGTTGGTTGGTTCTATGAGTGTTTACCAAATCAGTTGAACGTTATCTTGTAGTTATTTGGGAAGGATGAGAAAAAAGGAATATTTATTTCTTCATGTTGTTAGAAAATCCCTCCTATGTCCTTATTCATTGTTTTTCTGCTATTTGCCAAGGCTCAAAACCAAAAATATAACCACTAAAAATGACTAGGCGTAGCCTACTAAAATAATTGTTCCTCTTTGCCTAATGGCTCTAATGATTGGATTTTGAGATATTTTTATTTCTGACTCATTGAAGGTTTGTGAGGGGAAAAAGTTTCTAACCACCACTTGTATCTTCAGTTCCAGACAATGTCGAAGATGAAACTGCTGGTTGTATTCATTTCACCGATGAATTTACTAACAGATATGGAGCTATGCATCCCGATTTCTTTCCTGGAACTCTGGAAGATGCTATTAAAGAAGCATGTCAAAAACCTGCAAGAGAGGTGAAGTATTACTTGCTATTATATGTTGGGATTAAGCGCTAAGTCCATGGTTGGGTTAGAAGTTATCTAGTTGATTATAACAAGTATAATTGATTATAAGTCTTGCTCAAAAACCCCTAAAAAATCAAATAAGTGGTTAGAGCCTACTTGGTTTTTCTCTTTCAAATAAACGAGTAAATAAATGTCTTTCAACTGCAGTTAAAACTTGTACACAACTTTATATCCTTTACTCTAAATATGTTTACAGAGGAGGTTATTGGCTGTTTATCTCCATCATGACGCCAGTGTGTTGACTAACGTGTTCTGCACTCAACTGTTGTGTTATGAGTCAGTTCTGCAACTCCTAGCGACCAACTTTGTCGTCTGGGGGTGGGATCTCACATTTGAATCTAACAAGCAAAAGTGAGTGTTAGCTTACCTTACCTTACTTTACATATATACATGGCAGGCTTAGCTGATTGGGAAAGAGTTAAATAAGGCAAAAGAAAGGCATATTTTGTACAAAAATAAGTATATGTTACCGTCGCTTACAGCATTTTCAACCCGGGCAGGTTTGAAGGATGTGTTAATATAGCGGGCTTACCTGGATGGGAAACTGTCCAAGCTAGCTCAGGAAAGAAACACAAACGTTTCATCACACATAAGAATTTATATTATTTCACTGTTAACGAGGAGGATTTGAGTTAGGAAGGGAAATGTCTTGCGTGGTTTAAAATACTGTTAGTGTCAGTAAAATATTCTTATGATTGTGTTTGGCTAAAAAATTGTAGTGTTCTTGGACACTTTCCGATTCAGGTAAACCTGCATCCTGACAAAAATCCTTGAAAGTTAGGTCCTTGTGCTTTATGCTACATTCTGAACCTCAAGAAATGTATGGAAGTAAGATGTCTTCAAGACCAATTGTGGCCAAGAAGCTGTTGTCGACAGTTTCGTCAATTACTGGGTTGGATAATTAATTGATTAAAAAAAAGTTTGTTATCATAAATCAAATGTTCAATTTTAAATTGCTTTTATCACATCTAATGGTCAATCACCCTGATCTTGTTATCCTAAATCAACATTACTTCAATGAGTTTGCTTGTAGGTTTCTTGCGTCCCTCACTCGCACACTGGGGCCCATGGCGGCCGTTACTGTTCGCAACATAGAGGTGGAAAGGTTGCCAGCACTGTTGCTCATCATGAGAATGAGGTCTGCTACGGAAATATTTTCAGCTGTTCACGGTAATGACCTGATTAGTGTGTAGTATATACCAAAAACTATTTAATTTGTACGCAAGCAGATTTTTTGTCCCATTCATAGAAGTATACAGTAGATAATTTTTTTCCATACGTTGTGTGTTTAAAAGTAATTTAAGCAATACTTTCAGTCAAAGGTATTCCTTTCTGTTTGTCTTTGAACAAGTAAAACTGGTGGATTTTTTTCAAAAATCGCCCCTTTGGTTTTATTTACTTTATTCATAAGACTTCAGTGAAGTATGTTCTACAATCTGTCAAAGGCTGACAAAACTAAAGGTTAATCATCTGTAAATGCTACATCTTGCATAAAGGTCATAAAGAAAGTATACCTAACACTGCAGGCTAAAAAGAATGATTTGTACAATAAATCTAGAAAAGCACATTTTTTCCATCACTGAATTGTTTGAATTATTTCAAAAATTTGACAAAAGAGTAAGGAGGTGTTATGTTTAAATAAATATTACGTTGACCTTACCTAGCTGGCCACTCACACCTAAGCAGGTTTTTAGCCTTTCCTGTATTAATAAATATTACGTTAAAGTAAAAAATGCAGTTCGACAAGTACACTAAAGTCAAATATATTATTTGAACAGGCAATGTCGGCGTTAATGAACTACTTACTAGCCTCATTCAGGCAGTTGATGTTTTCTCTGAGCAGCAGAAACAAGAAGTAAAAGAAGAAGATGAAAGAATGGCCAGAGAAATGATTAAAATCGAACAGGACAACGCTTATCAAGCTTCTCTAGAAATAGACAGGTAGAAAATGTAGTTTGTTATCTGTAGATATTTGAGTTTACCATTATCATTACCATTCCTAGCATGCGATCATTATAACTCGTTATCTGGACTGATCTTGTCATATTTAAAACACAAAAAATAAAAATAGAACTAATTCTTACATTACCAACTACGATGGCGGCCAGTATCACACCCTAAAGTTCATACTGTCCCCAAGATACTTCTTTATGGAGTAAAAACATTCGCTCAGTGACCAGTTCATCACTTTTTTTTTAGTTGTTAAGTTTAGCTCCCTTATATTGACTGGAAGCTTGTTGAAAAGTCTGTAGGCTATGACTGGGTAGCAGCTCTTTGATTTACCTAGCCTACACCTTGGCACATTGATATCCCTCTTTGATCTTAGGCAGTAGTAGTGGTTCTGATCTCTTCCGATGTTCTCGAGTTTTGGATTGTTTTCACAGAGATAAGGCAGTCTAAGATAAACTGACAGTAAACAGTGAGTATAACAAGTTGTTGAAAGATGGCTTACTGTGCTCATGCCAGTATGATTCTGACTGCCGTCTTTTGTAACAACTAAACTCACTTTGAACTAGGACTATGGCCCCAGAGTGTCAGCCCATAGCTTATGGCAATGGAAAAGCCCAAAGTAGGTCAGCAACGAATATTCAGGAGTGACGATCAGCTTAAGTTTTCTGAGAAGGAAATTGGTTCTTGAAAGTTTTTTACATACATGGCCATGTGTGGACCAATTCAGCTTATAATCCATATTTATGCCAAGGAGTTTCATCGGCTTGTCACATCCACATCCACAGTCCATCTCAGACTGAGTCCACAAACTACAAAGAAGCTGGTGAGATTTATTTTCATTGAGCTTGAACTAGTTCCTGGTAACCACGAGGCAGGCGGCCGCGTTGGCATTTATAATGTTGTCAAGTGTTTAAAGTATCTAAAAGTGTGTATGGTTCATTTATTTGTTTGTGATGTCTACAATCTAGAGTCTGCCGTGTAAACTTTGAACCACAATTAATCTCATCCTTACTTAATGTTGGAACAGAAAGTTATTTCATCCAATGCGGTAATTGGTATAGCTAGTAAAATATTGGTGAAATATTTGGAAATATTGGCAATGTAAGACTAGATTGAGAAGGAATTTCTGTCTATTTATTAAGCGCTTTTAACCTACACATTTAACCAAACTTTACTTTCATTGTTTTATTATTGATCATTAACTCAGTGAAAGTAAGGATTATTCCGCTTTTTTCCTGCTGTCTTCAAACCCAAACCATTCTCGTCTTCGTTCCTTGTATGTGTTTGTATTTGTCTGTGCGTGCAAGGATGTGTGTCATTTTACATCGTAGTAGCAACTAGATCAACTAATCGACTTGCCATTTAATTGCTAAAGTAAATTTATTATTTTCAGAGCAAAAGAGGAAGCAAAGAAACAACAGGAGATGCTTGAAACTCGAGAAAAACAGAGAATTGAATCAGAAAAACAAGAAGAAGAAGCCAAAAAACAGGTATAATTTAATTTCAATGGTTTTATGGTAGTTGTATTCTTTATTTTGAAAGACTGCTTTCAAATTGATTTACATCTTTGTACATTTTGTTATCAACTTATGCATTTTGAATTCTTTTTCTGGATTGGAAATCAAGTTACCGTTACTAACTTAAATAGATGATCCAATATTTTATAATTGCTTTTAGGCTGAAAGAGCTGCCTTAGAATCAGAACTTCCTGACGAACCTAGTGAGGACTCAACCGAAAACATCACAAAAATACGTTTCAGATTACCTAAAGGAGATTTCTTAGAGAGAAGATTTTTAGCTTCAAGCAAACTACAGGTAAAATCAATGTTTCCAATTTCATTTGATATATTTTCAGATGATACCTTTTTTTACATGACAAATATTTTGTTTCACTACTGTTTTATTTCATGTTTCCCTGGCATAAAAAGGCATAACATAACCATAGCATTAACATTTTAAATGGTTTTTGTTTAAGAAAAATGTCCAAACCATTATCTTGTAATTACCTAATGACAATATATTGGACAACTAACTTACCTGGGAAAAAAAGGTTTCCCACCAGGCAGTTTACAGAAAACAATTGATTTTTCATTTGTGTTTGTGAGCTGTTTAGTCTACCTGGAACTCTTTTCTTGGGTAAGTTAGTTGTGTATCCATTCCTTCATCTTTAATGTATCCCTAAGCCAGGTGCTCTTTTTTCTTCCAAAATGCCCAAATTCCTCCAAAACCTAAGTCTTGAATTATTACTTGAGGACTAGAATTCGACTGAGGATTGAACTTAGGTTTTATTTTTTTATTTTTATGTGTTATATTTGACAAGATGTCCATTTTTGACTCTCTTGTTAATATATTCAAAACTACAGTCTAACCTTGATATAACGAACCTTGATATATTGAATTCCTTGATATAACAAATTTTTTTTAATCCCCTGGAACTCTCCATAAGACCCAATGTATATTTTACCTCTACATAACGAACAAACCATAACAACGACCTTGATTTATCAAATTTTTCGTGATTTTGGCTCAAATAAGACACCTCAATATAACGAATTTATCATTGTCAGAACCTCTACATTGCGAATTTAACCTCTGCATAACGAATTGTCTACGTCTTTCCCTCGATATAAAAAATCCCCCACCCCATTATTTTTGAAAAATCTGTTTCTTTATCAAATGAAATGGAAAGGTGACGTAATCGCTTGCGCTAACATTCGTCTGCTCCGTTTTTAACACATCTCTGTCTGCTGTCGCTGCGCGTGCTATGTTAGTATGTTGCAATTGAGAACTGATTTCATTCACTGAGGACTGATGACGACGTAATGTTTAGTAAGCTGTGATTGGGCGATAAGTAACTATGGTGAATTGTACAATTTTTGGATAAAGAGAAACCTAAGAAAGGATATAAAAACAAGAGCAAAGAGAAAGAATAGCAACATCGTTATTTTAACATTCCTTTTAAGAGTGTTTTTATTATCTTTAAGTTGGTTATGATTATACACTTTTATGACTTATCTAATAATTTATTGTTTTCAATACGATTTGTTTAAACTAGCAACACCAATGCTATAGTTAATGATTATTATTGACATTCCTCTGTTGTGATAAATCCGTACTGTACTGTATGTAGCCTACCGGCCTATCACGATCAGTAGCTTACAAAACTTTCTACTACTGTTTTGTTTTGTTCTTTACATGGTTTATGACTACGCAATACAGTGTTTGGCTAGGTTTTAGGAGGGTTAGAACAAGCTGTGATTTTAAACTTACAGTTGTTTACCTGTACCAAGATCAATGCCATTTTCATGATTGCGCAATATGCAAGATCCCTCCCCTTTATTATGCCGGATAATTTAGGTTCTACTGTACAATGTAAACACTGTACTGTAAAGTATTGTAGCCTATGCTACTTTAATTGTGTTTTAATGAGGTCAAATCCCGACCTATATTGACCGACGCTTGTTCTGAACCTCGATTTAGCGAATTTTCTGCAAACCTAACCTCTATATAACGAAACGAACCTCTTTTTAACGAAATCCTTGATATAACGAATATTCAGTTCGGTCCCTTCAGATTCGTTATACTGAGGTTGGACTGTACTTAGCTTATGTAAAATTATGTGTCTGATTATTTTGAATCACTGGTATAAATTATTTTGGCATAAAAATGTTGATGTAATTTAATTAATATTTTCAGGTTTTGTTGAACTACTTGGTGGTCCAAGGTTTTCATACAAAAGATTACAAAGTGATCTCAAGTTGGCCTAGAAGAGATGTGAGTATGATTTAGAAATAGTTTTGCAAAATTTAGTTGTTTGGATGCAAAAATCTCATCCATTTGCTAGTTTAGTTATGAACATCAAAAGTGTGCCAGTGTAATTTTTTTCACGAGGGTGAGTTATTTGCTCTTATCACTTAGCTACACTGTCCACTGCCACTGTGCACTGGTTGCACTTATGGATGCTGCAACCTAAATTTTGGAAATAATAAAGGCACTGGCTTCAGCGTTCACTAAGTTTAATAACGTCCAATACAAAATTTAATAAAAAGCTTTTTCTGGGAAGCAACGGCTGTCGACAACGGGCTCTATACAACAAATTCTCGGCAACGAACTCTCGGCAACAGTGCTGAAATAACAGGATGCGCAACCACAACCTGTTATTGGCGGGTGAAAAACGTTGCCGTTGCGTTGCTGGGAAACAACAATAACTTGCATCTCTAGTCCCAAATTGAGACAATTAATTTGGAGCTCTACTGACCTCTAACGGTGTGGGTTCTGATAACTTTTTTTTATTTTTCAAATTATAAATTACCTAATCCTGGCTGGGTATGAGTTACCTGAAATACAGTTTTAAACTGAAAATAATTTTATGGTACAAAATAATTTGCTATTTTGTACCTTAATACCACCTACGACGTCGTTAACCAGAATTTCAGGATGTACTGTGTGGAGGATAACAAACTAATACAACGGTTTACACCAGATGTGTTTTGTTTTTACAGTTAACATCGGTAAGCGGAGATGCCACTTTGCAGCAACTCAATCTTTGTCCTCAAGAGACTCTTATCTTGGAAGAACGGTAAAACCAAGGCGACAGCACTGAACCAAGGGATTCACAATGGCTGTGTTATGTTTACTAAACAACTTCTAAATCAGTGTTAAATATTTATTTTGATGTCTTTGATCATTGGAACAATACCTTAGCTTTAATTTCTCGGATGGAACTTTGTGTTTATTTCTATGAGAGATCACCGGAATTCACACATTAGTGATTGTGTAATATAGGACTAAACTGCTTCGTCTCGTTTACCTTTTATACTAAGGAAATACTAAGATGTCTCTATGTACATATTAAATATTTACAAATAAAATTTTCATTATTCTAGTTTTTTAGTGTAGTATACCGGTTTTACTCTTTTAATAACACAAAGTCCTTGCCTATGTTTATATATCCACCCTCAATATACGTACCTAGGCCAACTTATTATAAACAATTGCTCTTAAGAAATTAAACCGGGGAACTTAAATTAAGTTGCAGACGTGTTTGAAGATTTGCATTTACACCAATTTTTTGTAAATTTGTTTAACTCCATAAAATGTGAACGAATATATGTGAACTGCTAAGCCTCAAGAACATTTTCCAAGATATACTTTTGTAAAAAAAAAATGGAATTTGATTTTGGATTCAACAATTTGGATTTTACTTAAATTTACAGCAGCTACATTTTCTTCTTGAACTAGGATGTTGTTCTGGAGTAAACAGGCTGTTATCTTTTGATATTTTGTAAGACTTTTGTTTGCCTTTTAATTCAATTACCTGTTCTCGAATTGTAACTGTATTGTTTTTACTATTTTATTAACCAGGCTAATTTGGAATAATAAGACAATAACAAAGAAAAGTCTTGGTATTTGCAGTAAACATGAAAAAACTGTTTTTTCGTTGTAAATTTCCAAGTTATCTTATAAATTGTAATGTTCTGATAGCATTATTTGAAACCAAAACCGGAACAAAAGACATCTAGTTTACAATCTATATATATAAAAGGCAAAGCCCTCACTGACTGACTCACTCACTCATCACTAATTCTCCCACTTCCCATTTATCTAGGAGGCTGAAATTTGGTACACTGATTCTTTAGGCATTAAATAGGAAAACTAAGTGGTTTTTATTCTGATCGGACTCTCGGGCTCCGCCCCAGTTCGTCTGGAGTTTCCCATGTTAACCTAATGAGTACTCATATTTAAATGGAATAAATGCATCTTAACAGCTGTTTTAATTAAACAAGTTGGTTCTGTTCTATGATGTTCAATAGCATTAAAGTTACAAGGATTACCAACAGAGTGCAGCACTATTATTTTTTTAAATATTTGACAACAGCTAATTTTAAACCAAAAGGTGAGCGAGCAAAGCGAACGAACTTCAACCCGGGGGCGAGTTAGCGTAGCAAACGAGCTAATTGAAGGCAAGCGTACGTGCTCCAACCTAAAGGTGAGTGAGCGTAGCGAACGAACTTCAACCAGGACGTGATTGAGCCATGCGAACGAGCTCACATATGAAGTTAAACGGGGCAAAGCCCGCGGGTACAGCTAGTGTAATATGAATTTGACCTTGATTTAGTTTAGTCATTACATTAGATATTATTTATTTGCATATAACATTCTTTTACATGTAGAACTTGTCTTTTAATTAGAACAGGTGGATTGTCAAAATTGAGCCATGACTAGAAAAATGCAAAGTACAAAGTAACAGAAAAAAAACTAGCCAAATAATGTTAATAGTTTAACAAAATGAAACACAACAAATTAACTCAAGGGATGTTTATCAAATTCCTCAGTAACACCATTTTTATGATCACTGTTGTGATTCGGCTGAACATTATCATCTAAATAGTCCAGGTTAGTCCGGGACTAACTAGTGCTGCTACATAGTAATGCATTGAACAACTAGGCGTAGCGCCGTTAGGTGCGCTATCAGTATCTGTTAGCAATTGTTGACGTCAGCTCAAATACCGATTTTTACTCCATATTCTCCTAGCACAGATAGCCGATAAGGCTAGGGCGAGTATCACTTGGCCAGTGGTATTTGTTTGCTCGGGTTCGATTCCCGTCCTGTGTGGCAAATAACTGGTGACCTGTGTGTTCACAGCAATATGCTACAACCACTGAAGCATAGTGAGGTGTTCATAATCCTTGGTTTAGACATACACCTCGAATCATCGTATTGGGCGAATCTTAGCTAAGTGGTTGTTAGTGTATCCTATGAACATACAGGTAACCAATGGCCGTTTTGCAACTTTTTGTTAAAATAACCTTCCTCTATATATCCCTTAGAGATTTTAGTTAACAACGATATATCGTTGCATAGCACATTCACAAAGATAGCACCATAAGGGTTAATAAGACAGTATACCTGCAGGTGGTAGCCTTCATATGACATCACAACATACCAAAGGATAAAAAGTGTTTTACCTATTTTTGTTTAAGGGTAGAGCTGTAGAATTTAGCTTGCTTAGCAAAAATTTGAACCCAAGGGTTTTTAAATAGGGACACTACAAACAAAGGTCACACAATCTCAAACTTCGAACATTTCGGATGGATTTCTTGAAATAATAGTGAGTTAGTTTTTATAGTGTGCTTGAAATGCCATGGGTAGCACAAACTATTCAAGATGAATGAGAATGACTAGGCAGCACTACAATATTAGCCAACACAAATTCAGTGCTTAGAAAGAAATTGTATCGTTCTTTTCAATCCCTGGAATAGTAATAGAATTAAGGGAAGAGCCTATCAAAAACTTGGCAGGAATATAGAGAGAATTTTGAGTATAGGTCTACAATGTGTAGAAGAGGCCCTTGTTGGTGAGGGTCAATGCCCTGATAACTCCACTCAATTTTGCTGACACCTCTACAAATGCCACCTAGTTACCCTACTAAAATATTTCCTTAACAATGTCAGATTTATTTCTTATTTAAATAATATTAGGTTAATCAAGTAGGTACCTAGGTTTGCTTCTACAAGTGGGAGGGCAATAAAGTGTAATTTTAGCCAATAGCTCGGTGCTTGGTATGAAAAAAATACTAGATAACTGTTGCTCGAAATCGAGCAAAACTGAAACTTAAAGAATAAAGAAAAACAAACAGCAAGACCTCAATCAAAGAGTCACTCTAAATTAATCTATATGACTAATCATGGAAATAGGAAAAAAATAATTTGTGAAAAATATTATAATAAGTAATCTACAATATTTAAATATAGACAAGTGCACCTGTTGTTCGAATTCGAGCAATTGCTAAGTATTACAGGAGTTAAAAACTAATAACAGTAACAGTCGAGATTTCCTATGACTTACAGTAGTCGCAGTTAGTCTGGGCTGGGCGTGCGGACCCTTGTGTACTAGCCTTGCTGAGAGTAACGGCTCGCTCACCCCCACAGCCTCGCTGAACAACCCCAGAGAGCCTTGTGGGCCAGGTGACTTTGATTTTGGATACATGATAAATATATTATATTTTTATATTGTTTCAACAGTACTCTTGAAAATAAGTTGGCAGCACTTATATATGACAGCACATAAAAAGATACTTCGACTACGATCAGCTGATGCACTGATGCAGTGAATGCCGTGAGTGATTGGATTGCATTGCAGTATTCAGTATCGGTGTGTAACCGTCGTGAAGTTAGCGGCTCTTTTCATCGGCGCTTTTTCGGATTGTAATAGATATGGGTTGGTACGCCTGCGGGTGCCACAGACGTGTTTTGCAGGGATGTCGGAAACGCAATTCAATGACAATACGGTGCGAAATGATGTTTTTACATTTATATAATGTCAATTATACCTTGATAAAACGTGTATACACATTTATATAATGTCAATTATACCTTGATAAAACGTGTATACACATTTATATAATGTCAATTATACCTTGATAAAACGTGTATACACGTTAAAACTAATTATTTGACGTATTTTAAAAGGCATATTTGAGACCGTACTGTACATTATACCATAGATAAAACATACCTATGATTATACGTAGCTATGGCTTAACATAACGCGATCAATTAAAACTCCGAACATAAAAAAGTGCATAATCTTTTTCCTAAGCCCATCACATCAACTTTGAGCTATTCTAATAGTAATATACAATGTGTAGAAAACTCAGTATAAATATTATTGAGGCAGTCCAGTAAATTACGAAGCTATAAGGCAAAATCTATATGATTGATAGGAATTTGCGTCAGGAAAAAGTGCACAATCTTTTTCCTAAGCCCATCACACCAACTTTGATGTATTCTAATGGTAATATACAATGTGTAGAATACTCAGTATAAATATGATTGAGGCAGTCCAGTAAATTACGAAGGTATCCCAGATAGCAAAAAATACTTGATTAAAGCTTGAAACAAGTTTGATTTGTCAAATCTGCAAACTTGAAACAAGTTTGCTCGGATGGGTCCGTAAACTTGATTCAAGTTAATATCATGCGTCGAAGTTCCCGCTCTTCCAGTTTGAATAAAACTTGTAACATCTAATTTGAATAAAACTTGAAATTTCTAATTTGAATAAAAATTTAAACATCTAATTTGAATAACACTTGAACTATCTAATCTAAATATAAATTGAAAAAAATACTTGATTCAAGCTTGAAATAAGTTTGGTTTGTCAAATCTGCAAACTTGAAGGATCGGGTTTGTAAACTTGATTCAAGTTAAAATCATGCGTCGAAGTTCCCGCTCTTCCAGTTTGAATAAAACTTGAAAGATCCAATTTTAATAAAACTTGAAATATCTAATTTGAATAAAAATTTAAACATCTAATTTGAATATAAATTGAAGAGTACAAGAAATAATTCTTTTTTAGCTACTTACAAGCTCTTTTTTATTTCTGAAAATTTAATTCATATGCTTTTACCAGGATTCACACAGTCTTGACACATGTAATAAGAATTTCATATTTTTCAGGTTGAGATGCATAGCACAATATAATCTTCCAATATTTCAGATAATTTTTCACAATCACAACATAATCTAATAACTTCAATGCCTCTAGTTGTTAAATGCCAAGACACTTCTCTAAATAAAAAAGCGAGATACCATCTAAAAACTTGTTTTTATAAAAGAGCAGGAAAACACGAGTTATTATAGTTTTCAACCCTACAATTTTAAATATTATTACTATTCAGTATGTAGAATTCAGAATTCTTTGAAATTAAAAATAAAACACAAGAGATAATTTGTCTAAACAGATTTATATTGAAGATTTACATAACACATTTACATTTTAAAATGCCTCGTATCTTTAACTTTCAACAAACAATTCCCTCAAAAATTCCTCATTTTACAATTACTTTAATAATACAGAGTAAGTTATCTATTCAACAAGATCTT